ACCGCCGGTTGTGGTACACCTCTTCAAACCACATACCACACATATACCTGCTCTCGATACATCCGAGCAGCTGCTCGAGCATTTCCTAGGGCAGTACCATAATAGTAATGCATTTCTGCAAAATATCACGGGGAATATGACATGATTCTACTCATATGCCAAATGTTAGATACAAATTCCGCTGGACAATTGCCTGACTTAGTAATTTCAGTCGGACCGAAGATTGGACGCTCCCGCACCTGGACTCCGCCATTTTGATTTTACAAAATGTATCACAGTATCACTCGCACTGCTAGGACGAATCTAACAGTATCTCGTATGTGAAAATCCATCAAGTCGTTTGGACTGAAGCTCGAAAAACAGGATTTCTTGTTTACATGTATAGATACCCACCAGGGTCAAATATAGAGGTTATTTAAGGTGAGGCAATTATCGTATCAAGCTGAAATTTTCAGGGTTTATTCTACATTGATTGAAATAATTTTTACGATAAAATGAATAACGAAATACAACCTCAATATTTTTTGCCGCCCTCTAAGGTTGAGGGATGGAAGAGATTTTTCAGAAAAAAATAAACTTAAGATATTTTGCTTTGATTTCTGATTAAATTAAGAGGTAACATAATCATTGCTAAAACTGGCCATTTACCTCATCTCAAAAAAATCAGAGCCCGAAACTTAATGGTTTAGTTGTAATTACGATTGAAAGTTCATTATCCCGTTTGTTCGAAATTTCACAAAATTGCAAATATCTCCTGAACTATAAAATTTCGGACCACACGTATTGGGGCTCATTCGATAGATTTTGAGACACTCCATCACCTGACTACCGTTGATCCACTATTAATTTCACACCCTGTATATTAATTACCAGGAGCAACACATATCGATGGAAAAAAGGATATCGAATGGTTATGTTTAGAACTTCAGCCCAGACCAATATCAACCCATCGTATAATCAGAAATTTTGTGTATTATATGCCTTTGCGAGCATTCTTGAATAGGTTTTGATGGTTGAGAGGCTTATGGCACTAATTCAATATGTCTATGACATCGCAACAACATCGTAACATGCGGTAGGTCACAGACAGTTAGTGTGTCAATGTTTTGAGCTCTATGCCTTGTGTTGTCACATTGTATGCTAGCTTTGTGGTCATTAATTGTCAGGTAGTTGTGGGCTTTATTCGTCTCTAGAGTTTTCAAAACATTTTCAGAGTTTTTAATATCTCACGAGTTTTCTACAAGTTGATGTTCCCAAGTGATTAGGGTATATAAAGGAGTGTGGAGTTGATTGTTGAAATTAAGTAAGTTTTGTGAGCTTCAAGAGAATAAAATGTAAAAAATCAACAAATACCTCATTCCAAGTGCGAGAAGAAGAGGCCGCTCATAACAATTGGTGTGTAAAGCTTCCAGTTCGTCGAAATAAGCAGAGTGAGTACAGTAAATGTCAGTTACCACCAGCGGTATGTGTTTCGATATGACCGCTATGATGCAGATGCTTCAAGAAATAAGTTCAGTCATCAGAGCCAATAAACAATAGATTTCGTATTTGATAAACACGCAGTAGAAGCCACTGAGAAGCAAAAACAAGCCGCAGATAACCGCCCAAATAGCCTGGAAGGTGGTAATCAGCAAGCGACTGCCGCCATCGAAACTAACCAAGAAGAAGCAGATACCTACCTGAAATCCATCTAATAAAAGGCAGTTGCTGATCTGAATCTCAGCCAAGAAAAAGCAGCGAATACTCTCAGTAGAAGGACACTGAACAACACGTAGGCTCGATTTTGCTGTTGATCCACGGGATCAAAACTCTTGATATGGGTCTAAATGGACCAATGAAAAGGCGTCATTGTTGTAATGGATCAGGTGAATACAGTCGATTTGTTCTAAGATACCTGTTTTTTCAAAAATGTCTTTCAAACTAGTGAAAAAATAAATATACGACTTGTGTAAGAAGGTCCTCTAATCCCCATACCAAATAAAGATTTCCTTCATAAATCACCTGGTTTAGCTGCAAAACTATATTTTTTCACTTGACCCGGAGATCAAAGCCTGTGATCCGGATCAACAATGACCAATTATTAGATATTGTTTTATTAGAACTGGATCAAAAAATCGCCAATCGGAAGTAAGTAACATAAGCCCATCTTGTAAATGATAGAACCAACTTCAAAATAAACATAAACACTAAAGAAAATTGAAGAAACGAGATATCGATTGTCAATTCGGTATAGATTTCAACAAACTCCTTAATTATCTTCCATAATCACATGTTTCTGCTGCTGTATCTAATCCGCATGGTAAATACAGATGTTTCTGGGTTACAGTTATTTAGAACACCTTCGCTTCACAAAATTTGTCAGCTAGAGTTGGGGTGTTTTTCGAATTCAGATAATAACGATATTCGAATACACATTTCACAATTTTGTGATACAATAACAATTACAACAAATTATAATAATCAATGCAGGTCTACAAAATTGAAGCTGATTTTGCCCTAATACAACAGGATTCCTAGCCGGCAGACCGGTTCTATTTTATACAACATATATGTATTCCACACTGGCTAAAATGTATGGAAATACTGCACGTAATTTGTCATAATGATCAATAAATTTGAAGCTATGACAAACACAAACGGTAAATTGAACAAATCTCATTATTATTAGATTTTTTCCTGCGACATTCTGTTTTTCCAAATATACGAGTAATCAGTACGTCTTCGAAATGTGGATTCGAAAAAAATATGTATCATTGTTATATGACACGGTAGACCAGTACATTTGAAACTAATAGAGGTAGTATGGATATATAATTATCGACCACAGTGCAGCTGTGCAGTGTACATCGTCGATAATTCCCGTCACTATTCCAGTGTGGCAGCCCATGACTCTACGACCCTCATAATCTTACTTTTTAAGACAGTGTTTACAAAGTGTCCCTGTAACTGTTTTGTTTTTCGAATCTGATTCGTGGTCACGCCATAACGTGAGAACGATTCTACCGATTTCATTTATCTTTTTTAAAAGTTTCCTAATACTGTATAGGAAGGTTCTTACGGAAAAAAAATTAAGAAAGATGCGCAGAAAATGGGAAATCATTGAAAACCTAACAATAATTTGAGCTACACGCTTGACCATGGAGCACGCTCAGCAGACGAAACATCTCAAGCACCAAAAGAGACAGGCACTCCTCTCCGCCATTTTTATTCCAACAGCTATTGACAGTTAGCTATGTGCGAGAAAATTGCTCACGAAAAAACGGTGCTTTCGTTTTTGGACTTTCATTTCTTCACCATCCGTACTTTGTGATGGCCCCTCAAAAGAAACCGCAGTATTGCCTACTTGTTATCTTTGACAGTTAACTCTATGAATAAAAATACGTTTCTTTTGCTTAATTGACTTTCACTACTCTATCATTTTGAACTTGACAGCCCGCACACAGCAAATTTATATGATCGTTTAACAGTGTTTATCGATGAAAAAATATTTTTTTATTTAACTAGTAGTACACAGTCCATTCGATTAGAGCTTTTATTCAGTTTGCAGTTTGTAGTTTGTTCAGTGTTTTTTGAGATGTATTTGTTCAAAAATAATTAGCAAGTGTGAAAGTCAGTTTACCGTGATTCTTTAAAATGCCACCATTTAGATGTACCAACCTAGGTCGCAGAACTCGCAATAATGCGAGTTAAAGATAAGTATATACGAAGAAGTGACACTGACGAGCAACGAGAAGCGAGAAATGCAGTTGAACGGGATCGGAGGACTGAAATTGAACAACGTAGAAGTGTCGCATTCAATCCCAATCGAGCTGCATTCAATTATGACGTGGCAGTCGATTACAGTTCACAACAAATCGCTGCTATTGGGCCAATAAGCGTTGTGAATCTACATTGCAAGGCATTCAATTTTAAAAATGAAGCCTCTGGATTATGTTCCGCCAGTGGAAAACTCAGATTGACTCCATCGTTACCCCCACCAGAGCTACATTCAGTAGTTTCCGGAAATGGGCCAGATTCTATAAATTTTTGACTCATATCTAGCAATACAATAATTGCTTTCAAATGACGTCATTTGGCACAACAAAAGCCATTCGACATAATTTTATGCCTACCTTCAAGGTAAGATGATGGGGTAATGGCAGTGCTGCCAACGTATTTTGCTAGCCACATAGCAGTACAAACACTTCGCTATACAATTATCTGTACTCCATATAGTTACCTTTACATTATTTAATATTCATCCCAGTTCATAGCTAAGACAGGACAACGTCTGTCGGGCCAGCCAGTAACTAATAACGGTAGACATGAATAATATGTATTAACACAAATGTTTGTGATTTTAACAAATAGTAGTTGAATCTAATAACATTTATTTTTGAATTCAATTAAAAGAGTCGAAATGAAGTATAATTTGACTAATCTAACCTTAACTTTGTGGATTTACTGCGATTTCAGCCTCACGACTTTTCGTTAAACTATTTGATGTGGTAGCACTAGGCAGTCCTGTGACTGGCCAACTGAGCTGATGAAACGCACAAGACAGTTCTGATTTCAAATATAATGAATATTTTCCTGTACTCTTTCATTTCCCTAAGAAGCGTAGATGGGTTATATGCATAGTAAGATACTTTTATAAAAAATATGATTGCCAGTACTTAATGTATAAATTTCGCATATACACACACAGGATGTGAGTGCCAAATAGTGGATGATATCTACAAATTACATTAGACGACAATTGATTTCATATCAGGCATTATATCAGAGTTGCTCCACGATTCGGGCAGGTATTAAAGTGCCCTCTCCAATTAGCCATTTTTTTATTCAGTTTTACTAAAACACTTTCTAGTTGGTATTTCTAATCCATTACTTTTCATCAGCCCATTTTAATTCGGATCATGAATTTTGATATCATGTTAGAAAAACGTAGAACAACTATTGCAACAGTCACAACGACATGTAAGAGATATGATCTATTTACGAGAGATAACAAAATAGTAATGCAGGTAAACGTGATCTCAGTCAATATTCTAGTCGACCTGTTTGCAGGCGTAGTAGCAAAACCATATCTATACGAAGGTAACACATCGTGGGACGTATACTCGTACCGTACCCAGTTTGTAACACCGCGAAGACTAACTACTGGTCAGACGAAGAAAAGGCCTGTGTGCTAATCTGGATGCTACGGGATTACTGTGCAAGTACTTTTGAAAACCTCTACCAAACCGACTTATGCAAGTAAAGTAAACTTGTAGCTACTTTGAAGCTACGTCTTGGAGTTGCCCATTAAACGGACTTTTGTTGTTCAACGCTTACTTGTTTCTCTACCGTTTGTTGCAGGTTATCCACCATTAATACGGAATGTTCAACGTAAGACATAACAGCATGAGTACGCATGTGGGATTCTTCAGGAAAGCAATGAAACATGGGAGCCCTGAACAAGAACGCTTTAAGTCGAAAAAGGTCCCTTGTTGCAGATATCTGGTGATCCTCACCGCCAAGTTTCACGGCTTGTCCAGGGATATACGGTGACCTTACATCCTCACAGTAAGGAGACTCCAAGTGAAGTTCGACTTTCAGATGCAAAAATGTACAAGAAATAAATTATTTAATTTGCAAAATTGTGATGCATTGTTTAGATCAGGAGTTCCCAACCAGGGGGGCGCGCCTCCCAAGGGGGGCATTTTAGAAAGCAAAAAACAAAAAAAAAATAAACAAACATTAACAAATAACATTACAATGTAACTTATTATATCAACGGCTGTTTCAAAACCCGGTGTCGTCAATCGCAGTTTATATAAGTTTCGACAAGACACAACATGAAATCCGCGCGCACCCCCGCCGCGCTCCGCTTAACATTCATCACTTAGAAAACAATTGCGTACCTACCAGACGCGGATGAGCATCTGTGACATGTGTCATTCCCACAAACTTGCGAAAAATTTGACGTTTCGATGTACATGTTTTGTTGAGACATCTGTTTGAGTGTGTCAAATTATTGTGTCTCACTGTTAAAAGGTAAGTTTGTGTATTTACAAGCTTCAGTTACCATTTTTATTTAATTTACTAAATTGTTGATTGAGTGGAGACGCGTTCATAGATCGGCCATTGGGACTTTTTTACCACATCACAATCAAGCCAACGTGGCGGAATAATTTTGAAACGACGAACTTTAAGTACCTAATATTGATTCCAAATGTATTTAAAGTTACTATTATATCGTGAACCTGCCTACAAAATATAAATCTCCCGGTAACCGATATACTGTTGAATACAAACATTACCTTATTAAGATAAAATATTGGGCATGTAATTAGTAATTATATGTAGGATTTTTGCTTATTTATTTATCACTTATTTGTTTTATTGTTATAGGTGCAAAATGGCAGCGAAAAAAGAAAGCGTTCCGAAGATTATGTTAAGTTTGGATTTACCTTCATAGAAAAAGACGAGTTTCAATTGCCTCAGTGTGTGATATGCATGAAGGTTTTAAGTAATGATAGCATGAGGCCCAATCGCCTTGAAAGGCATTTGTAGCAACAACATCCTACTCTGGTTTTGAACACGAAACGAGTTTTTTTTTCTAAAGCAGAGTCACTCAAGCAGGTCAGATTGGATAAATCGGGAAGTTATCACACAGGTGTATCGCAGCATCTCAAAGCTTCATTTGAAGTAGCTTTTATGATAGCAACGCAAAAGAAACCTCATACCAGCGGTGAAGAATTAATAAAACCATGTGTCCTAAAAGCTACGCAGATAGTTTTAGGAGAAGATGCAGAGAAAAAAATGAAGTCAAGTAGAATAAATTTCATTGCAGCAGACATAAAGCCACAAATAATTAACAAAGTAGAATTATCGCCATTGCCATTAGATGAATCCACCGACATCGTTAATTGTGCACAGTTGATAGTTTATGTATGCTACATCGGCGGAGATATCATTCAAGAAGAGGTTCTGTACTCCCAATCTTTGACAGGAGGTACTACGTCTGAAGATATATTTAATTCAGTATAAAATTTTGTTGAAAAAAATGATGTCGATTGGAAGAAACTCATTGGACTTTGCACAAATTGCCACATAAATTACGCCAGACTTTGGACTCGGCTATAAGGATTGTAAACTACATCAAGAGCAGCGCTTTGAACAGTCGGTTATTTACTTTACTTTGTGAGGATCTCGATTCTGATTACAAAGTTGTTCTGTTCCAAACAGAAGTACGCTAGCTGTCCAAACGCAACATGTTGGCTCGCCTTCATGAATTGAAAAAAGAGGTAATTCTTTTTCTTGAGTTCCAAGAAAAACACGATTTCTTGACAATGCCCAAAGATGACACATTTCAATTACTTAACATATAACATAACATATTTGACTCCTTGAATGAGTTAAACTTGAAATTTCAGGGCAGAAACAATAATATATTAAGCAGTTATGATTATATTGAGGAGTTCATATCAAAGCTTCAACTTTGGAATCAAAAAGTGTCTCCTGAAAATGTTGTATCTTTTTTTCGGCTGTTCGAAGCAATTAAAAATAACGGGCGCAAATTTAAAAGCTGACATAAAAACTCATTTGCAAGCGCTGGAAGACGAACTTCGCCGATACTATCTAGACGTCAATTCAGAGTCACCAATATGACACATGACGAGAAATACATTTCTTGTCGATGTGTCACAATTATTCAGAAGAACTTCAGGAAGAATTTCTAGAAATGAAGGCTGATTCGTCTATGAAAGACGAATTCCATCTTTTAACACTGGAGAAAACTTGGATCAAGACATTGCCTGTTAATTCGACACTTACCTCTCTTGCTTTACAAATACTAGTTCTTTCTTCTTCAACTTACTTATATGAGACAGGATTTTCTGCACTAGTTTGAATTAAAACTAAACAGCGAAATCGTCTTGATGTCGATAGCGACCTGATGATAGCTCTGGCAAAAACAGAACCTAGAATCAACCAACTGGTACAGAACGTGTAATCTCAGCTGTCTCAATAGTACCTACTCGTGTTTTATTCAAGTTTTTCGATAAAAAACATTTATTAGTTTATTAAAATTTTTTAAGTTTCTTTATTAGAATTAAAATAAGAGTCTTTGTACCACATTAGGGGTGCGTTTTTTTTGTATTTATTGAAAAAGTAAAGGAGGCCATGAAAATATAATTCATAGTCCGGGGAGCCTCAACAAAAATAAGGTTGGGAGACCCTGGTTTAGATGACCAGCTGTGGTTTCTTTCTATTTATCGATTTGGAGACTGATGTTCTTCCTTTAAGATACGCTAACAAGCGGATCACGAAGGTTCCATCCGCAGTAACAGTCCCATCATATCAGGAAAAATCCAATTTGCGCTAAGTAGCAATATGTATGCACAGAAGTGCTGCTAGGCTTCGTTCTTTATTCGCATGAAATGCCAACAATAAATACCATTTTTGCCGCAACTTCAGATACCGATATGTGCGTGACCGCTTCTTTATAACTAGAAAGGTATGCAGCTGGGAACTCCAATTTCATTTTAATTTGTTCAGTCAACATAGGTAAACGATTATGTATCTCTACTAGTGAAAAACTCCTATGTGTTTAGAGGTACTTTTTACAGAAACATAAACACTGCTATATATTTAATTGGTTTCTCTTCCATTCATACCGATTTTTAGTAAATCTCTACAGAACTGTTAGCGTTTCGCATTATGAAACTCTCGTACATCAGATCATGGAGCTCATATTTCACTACAAGGATATTCAGAAAGTTCCGATGCGAAAAAAATATTACATAGGAGGTTTCATCAGTTCAACGACGTTATGTTCAAATAATTCATAATTTGAACCTTAGTACTAAAGGAAGAGCATCCGACTGATTATCTTACATTATTCAAACATACTCTCAAACTAACGTGGTAGATTATTTCAATCTGAAGGAGCAGTTTCATATCTTTATAATTACCATTAGTTTCAGTGCGCTGTAGAGTTCAGAAAAGCGGAATCGGATCAAATCCTTATTTCAATTGAGCGGACTAATTTATGATTTTATTCATATCGTTTCATCCCTGATTTTCGCCAAGCTCATAGTAAGGGTTGGAGCCACCAAGTTTTGAAATGGAAGCTCACATAAAAGCACTCCTCATTGACTGTTTAACAGTTTTCCATATACTGCAGGAATTGGAACTTAAAAAAGTAAACCCATTTGCTTAACTAAAATTGTCTCAACGTTAATCGGCGCGCGTCGTTTACGCGCAGTGCAGTGTCAAGGATTCGCTGAACACTTAGAATTAGAAAACAGGATAGAAGGTTGGCCGATAGATGTGCATTGTCGAACGAGATACCGACCGACGGTCGCCTGAAGGTTCCTTTCGTCGCCGACCAAAATTAGAAAGTGGCGTGCAGCCTCTTTTTCTGAAGGGGCGTCACCATCAGGTAACTGTCAACTAATCGATTTGTTTTAGGTGCAAGTTAAATATACGAGCCCCTTTCCACTTCAGTTGGCCCAACTATTGAAATATTAGTTTTTTTCTTATCAAACACAAATAATAAAAATGTAGCCGGGTGTTATAGGTTTAAACTATTAACAATGACTATCTTGATAATATACATATAGTAGAAAACACCAACTTTATCACTCCCTCATCAAAGTTGCAGCATAAAAATAACACATGTTGCAATTACAGCATATCAACCAATTTTCATTTCAATACAAAATAAGTCTATAACGCATAGGTGGCTGTGAAAAATAAAAGCCATGACAATTGTTTTTATTAATCACAGCTGTCAGAATACGTTTAAAATAGTTTTGGGTAGTTAAGGTTTTCAAAATGGGTAGAGGAAAGGTTATTAGTGAGAAAATTCGGTTACTGATAATTAAATTTTTTAATTCTGGGAAATCAAACTCAGAAATTGCAACTTTGTTAGTCTTATCGCGGTACAGTGTGAGAAATATTGTTAGAAGATATAACGTAACTGGTTCAGTTAATATTAAGCCACGATATGTGAAAAACAAATGCCGAACGAAGAGCATTAAGAAGAATAATCGTGAAAAACAGGCGTGACAATTATTTACAATTAAGTGCTCTATGGAGTGACGCTGTTGGAAGGAGAATTTCGAGGTCCACAACTTATAGAGAGGCCCACAAACTGGGATTTAGCACTTGCAAGGTAAGTTTTCTTATATAATAAGTGAAGTAAAAACCCTAAAGTTGCACAACTTGTTTATAGGCCAAAGAAAAGCCACTATTAACTCCACTACAAAAGAAAAATCGGCTTTGATGGGCTAAAGAACATAGACAATGGACACCTGAACAATGGTGTGCAATACAATGGATTGATGAGGCCCGATTCGAAGTTTGTGTTGGTGACAGTCGCAGTAGAGTTATTCGCAAAAAAATGAAGCATTCCTTGTTGACTGTCTGAAGAGAAAAGTGAAATTTCCAGCATCCATTATGGTCTGGGGCAGTATGTCTTCAAAAGGAGTAGGAAAACTTCATTTTATTGATGGAATTGTGGATACAAACAAATATTTGGCAACTTTAGAAGAATCGCTTTTACCAGTGATGGAAGAATGTTTGACATCCGGCCAAGATTTTGTGTTTCAGCAAGATGGTGCAGCGTGCCATACCTCAAAAAGGCTATAAAATGGATGGAAGAAAATAATGTACCACTTTTGAAATGGGTTTCTAGCAGTCCAGATCTGTCACCTATTGAAACTTTATCGCACGAGATGAAAAAGGTTCTACGACAACATCCTGCTCATACAATCACCGAACTGAGACAAAAGCTTCAAGAAATATGGGATTGTTTTACACCAAATTTTTTCCAAAACTTGGTTAACACTATGTCCCAAAGAATTTCAGCCGTAATAAAAAATAAAGGTGATGTTACCCAATGGTAGTCTTTCAATTGTTGTTTTGTTAACTTCGCGCATTTATTCGCACATTGTTTATTTGTTCAGATGTGCTATTAGTTATAGGTCTAAGTGATTTCAAATATGTATTTTCTACGACTAGAGTGTATCTAAAATGTTTTTGAGAAAATAAATTGTTTTAGAAGTAAATAGTTTCGTCATGTTTAGTTTATAAAGGCATATTTTGGTACAAATCTTGAAGCGGGCCAACTGAAGTGGGAAGCGGCTCGTAAATATATTAGTATGGATGCCTCACCGGCGCTGCAAATTGTGCCTAGCATGACGCTTGGGATAACGTTCTGACACTGTTGCTTGGGATAGCAACCTGGAGCTAGCTTATGATAGCAAGTTCATACCTAGGACGAACAAAGACGTTTGAGATAACGCTGAAACATTGGACTCGGTTGCTTGGAATAGCAACATGGACCTAGCTTGTGATAGACCACACCAAAGACGAAGGAAGATGTTTGGAAAAATGACTTAATACTGAACTTCGTTGCATAACTATCAAAACTGAAAGCGTTTGGGACAACGTAGCAACAAGGTTTGGTCAATAATCTTTTCTCATTTGCATGTGATAGCAAATTTCATCTGGTTTGTGATAACAATGGAACAGGACTGTAAGTTTGAACATGGCAGGCTAGGAAGTTATATTTTTTCCTTATTACCGAAGAGAGATTAGGTTAGCGTTACATTTTGCTTGTGATGGCAAATTCAATCTGGTTTGTGATAACCCTGGAACAGCATAATAAAAATGCACAAGACCATTTTTCATTGATAAAAATAGCGATTAGGTTCATACAGGCGAGACTGTGTAGCAATATAGCATTTTTCATTTATAACAGATAAAAATCGTGTAGATCTATGTGAGACTAGCGATACATTTTGCTTGGGATAACAAATTCCATCTGATTTGCGATAATTATGGAACAATATTGTAAGGATGCACGTGAGAAGTTAGGAAGAAGCCTAAGTACCATTTTTCATTAATGAACGACAGAGATTAGCTACATCTATGCGAGAAAAGCGTTACATTTAGCTTGTGATAGCAAATTCATTATGGTTTAGAATAGCCATCGAACAGGTCAATAATATGCACATGACAGGTTACGAAACAGCTGAAGT